CAACATGACCATGATCCTCAACATGACCATCATCATGACCATCATTATCATCATCATGACTATCATCATCATCGACATCGACATCATCATCATCATCATCATCATCATCATCAACATCATCTTGTTGTTCTTCTTCTTCTTCTCCTTCTTCTTCTTCATCTTTATCATTATCATCATTATCATTATTTCCACCATCATTGGCAGATACTAAAACTGCTGTCATCACCACACATCACTACTATATCATCCAACCCATCATATCATCATCATATCATGACCATCATATCTCTATTGGCCAGGAGCTCTTGATCGCACACCTTATCATTACACGCATCGAGTCATCTTACGTAAGGAGTCGTGGCATTCTTGTGAAAGTTCAAGCATCTCTTCTGTTTACATTCCGACTGTATAATGACTATATTTTCAGGATAATTGTATATATGATGATGGTTAGATTTCGACTTATAATGATCCCTTACTCACTTATTCGTTCGTTCGTTCATTCGTTCCTTCGTTCCTTCGTTCGTTCATTCATTCATTCATTCATTCGTTCGTTCGTTCATTCACTCATGCAATCACTTATTTAAAGACTTTAAATTATTTATCATTTAATTGCTTGTTCGTTCGTTCGTTCGTTCAGCCAATTAATTGCATGTTCATCCACAAATTTGTTTCCACAAATAAATTTTTATAATTCCATTCTAACCTTCCACAACACTCGTTAAACGTAACGCAAAATGTTACAAAAGTCTTGCACAAGAGGCATTTACATTTTGGAAACCATTTTAAAAATTATTTTGATTTAATTAGTCAATTAACTAAATAATAAATTAATTAATTAATTTTTTTATTTATTGGGATATTGTTGTTCAGCAAAGGACGCAACTTGGGAATGATATGTAACAAATAAAGAGCAGTAGATGCAATGGAATGAAACTAAGCTAGGCCTCACCAGATTCTGCCTGTCAGGATTCCAAATTTAAAAACAAATTATACAAACAAAACCTTTTTAGACATTTTTTTAAATTGAATTTAATTTGCGCTTAATAAAAATGTGTAAAGGTATAAATTCATCTTTAAGGCGATGTGAATGAAACGAGGTTGACAGTGGTCGCATTCCTTTGAATGCCAAACAGTCGCCAAATTGAAATAAAAATCTTCTTATTGAGTTGAATAAGGCCACTTAAACTGAATCTTTGAGAATAAATAAGTTGATCCCATTTCAATTCATTCAAAAGTCCAAAACATTTCAAACCAACTTTCAAAACATATCCTAAACAGTTGAAAATATGAATACAGCTATTAACATTATTAATTTTTTCACATAACATTACATGCTTTTTACATAACATTACATTACATTACAGGCGTATTACATTACAACACGGTACAGTTCAGTAACGTCGCATTTCATTGAGTCACGCTTTACGAATGTTTAAAATTAAATTTTGCAATATTTAAAATTAAATTTTGCACATAGCCTTACATTGCATTATGAGACTGCGAGTGGAAAGACTCGATAAAATTCTTTCATTTCGTTGAATCAATCATCATTGTTACACATCAAGTCGCTCGGAAAATTCATACAATATTAACATAAGTATCATTACACTTTAAACATTACCATCAACTTGAATACCACATCTCACGCACTCCACACACAACAACTCACACACACACCACAACTCACACACACCACAACTCACACACACACCACAACTCACACACTCCACACACAACAACACACACCACAACTCACACTCCACACACACACAATTCAGCATAACACAAGAAAATATCTCTTCATGCTTCAAACGTCTCAATAAACACTAACACAGATTTTGCTTGGACCGCCCCATACAACAAAGCCAGCCAATAAGAATTAATTCATCTAATTTGCAACCAATAAAAACTCAGCTTCTAAATTTGACGTTATCTGACGAGAGAATATAAAAAGAAGTCTCATTTCAAGCAGTGATTGGAAGTTATAATTGAAAATACTTTTGGGTTTATGTCAGTTGGATATTTCATTCAAATAATTAATTTGCATTTCATTCTAGACATACCTATTATACACAGTATCATCCAACATTTTAGTTTATCAGCTATCTCCTAACATTTACATATAATTCATTTTTAATAACAAAATTTTGAATCTAAACTTTCCTCAACTAACTCATGAATAATGTAGAACGTACGGATACGAGAGCTGAATCAAGCATTCCAAGATTTTCCAGTTGAAATTCGCAGTTGGTAACTTGCCTGGAAGAAATCGCAAGAAAAAAACAACTTCAGCCCAACTTTTTTGTACGGCAAATTGAAAGAGTATCGTCATCAATTTTCTATACTTCATCCTGGCTATAAAATCGGAAATTAACTCAAGTAAATTATTTTATTTAATTATTTAATATAATAATCCACTTTTTGTTTGGAATATTTTGAATTTGTCGAAAATATTCATCCTTTAAATTGCTACTTTAATTTGAATTCAATTTAGTTTGTTCAATTTTAAAATTTCGCTTCAAATTTTTAAACTTGAAAAAACGTTTCAGTGCTTAAAAATGTTACGACGGTTTGACATTTAAATGTTGACATTTTTGTGTCAGTGCCTCACATGATAAATTGATACAGGGCTGGCAGAAAGTTTCTGCTGGGTTTTTCTGCTGTTTAGTCACCGTTGTTGTGAGATGTTTTTTACGTTGTACTACTTTATTGCTTATTAACTGATATTGCGGGGCGTCGTTTCTCAACGTTGTTGTTCAGTTGCATTGTTAGAATATTTTGTTTGTGCTATATCACCCGCTCAACTGTCTTGTCTTACTAGGTGTCCTCGCCAATAAACGTGCAATCGATGTCCAGCCTTACTTATCATCATAGTTTTAGCCATCCCCCACCTCGCCCATATTTCCTCTTCGCTCTCACCAACACGATCACGTACTACAAATACCAACATCGTTATTCTCTGGTAGAGAGAATTGTTCATTGTACTATTTTGGCGGAACTTTTCAACATTACAGACGCGTGTTACACACTGACACGCGAAAAGTACACTAATTACAACAATGACAATAACAGCACACATCAATTTTTATAGGCATTTTTTAAGACAAAACTTGACATATCGTCTGACTTTCATCTTATAGATGGTAAATCTATCAAACTCAAACATATGTTCGCGTTGCTATTTTGAAATTTAAAAATTCTTCAAACTGAAGAAGTGCGTAGGTGTAAGGTTGACGCTTGAGCGTGTCTGTTGATTTATAGACATCACCTTTCTTAAATTCGGAACGCCACGCCGAAAATATGACATGAAATTTGTAAAAAAAAATCGCGTCCTACAACAATAATACAATAAGCATAGTACTGTCGTAAATGACATTTGTATAGCTATTTAAAACGTGATAACATTAGTTATAAATATTAATGCATAACAAATTAAGGGAAGAAACAAATAAGAAACACATTTTGTTAAAAATTAATCTTTTAAAAGCTTGCTACTAAAATCAAACTCAAGACTGTGTTTGAGTAACTGTATTTAAACACATACATTCACATTCACACACACATACAACCACATACATACAGCACAAACACACACACACACACACGCGCGCACAAACACACGAACTAACACGTCTTACATGTTTTTATACACAATAGCAAACATACATACAGATACGTGAGTATATTTATGAACAAAATATCATTTTATAGTACACACGTACATCATACATCATTACATACATGTGCATTGTACATATATGCTAATGTGCACAAACACACACACACACCACACACACACACACACCTACACACACCTACACACAAAGAACTCAGTAGTTTAAATAGCAACAAATACAGATGGAATAAATATAGAAACTCTTAAAATTCATTAGTCCCAATAAAAACGTCAAACCAAACGATGATCGATAGGGTTCTCATTTTAGTAACAAAAACAAAAGCTTTACTCAAGGAGTGTTGTTATTCATATTTTAAAAATTGCAATAAATTAATTAAATTCATTCTCCAATCTGGCGCGTTTTCATGGATGAATTTATATGGTGGTGTGGCCAGTGGTGGCGTGTTAATATTGGACGTTGTAGCAGTCAAGTGGTCGGCACTTATTTACATAATTAATTTTTTTTGTTCTTGCCCATCTCAACGTCTGTATGAACAAACACGGACAACTACAACTATAATGTGTTAAGCTATTCCATTTGGGCATTCATTGTTAATAAATAATAAACTGCAGGTTGTTCTTTCACCACCACCATCCACATCTATATTTCAAACCAATAAATTTGGATGCCAAAAACATTAGAGACCTCTCCCTGAATAACACTCAATGAACCGGAAGAATAAAAAGTAAATAAGTAAACTCAAGAATACTCTGGAAGGGAGGCATAATGATCCTAGATGGAGGGATGCGCAAAACTCCCCAACATCGGAACCATCATCATTACCACCATCAGTGCAACAACTTTCAACATCAACAATCTCTAAACAACAACGTCAGCAACACTTTTGACGACAACAACAGCACCAGCAACAACAACTGCAGCAACAACAACTGCACCAGCAACAACAATAGCAACAGCAGCATAAATAACGTCAACAGTCAAAACAACACCAACACTGTTGACACGAGTGAATTTGTATCAGTATGCGATATATCCTCTTATGAGCAACATCAGCTGAATAATCAACTACAACCGCACCAACAGCTACAACACGGACCACTACAACAACTTCATCAACATCAACAACTACCGAACTTACAACTTGAACCACAACAACATCAGCAACATATTCATCAACAACAACAGCAACTGAAACAACACAACCAAGTTCCCAGCAAAGCATTTCTGCCCGACAGCATCAACAGTAAAATCAATAGTAACAGTAGCATTCACATCATATGCAGCCCCAACAAGATAAACAACAACAACAACAACATCAGCGGCAACAACAAACCAAACATCACAACTTCCTCACGTTCCACCCCACCAAGGTGTTACAGTTGTTGGAAGTTGATCGAGGACGAGTATTACCTGGGCGGGGACGAAGAAGTGTGCTGGCACATGTCGTCAGGCTGTTTGAAGTGCCAGGAGTGCGGGCTGGTGTTGGAACACGGCACGAAATGTTATGTCCTCTCCGGCTCCATCTACTGCTCGGACGATTATAAAAAGTTAGTGTAGTGCAGTTTGAACTTTTTGGAATTGCTTTTGTTTATGCAGTGAAATTAATCCAGCACTGTATTCGTGTCACTTGAGTAAAATAATTTTCAACACGTCAGTTTAAAATGACGTCACTTCTCATTCCAATGCATCATAGCATTTGTTTTTTATCACGGAAAAGAGGCAATTTTTTACTTCAAAATATATTATTTGTATGTTATTCACATGTCAATCATTTTTGTGAGGAAACATCGTAACATCATGACGTCAAAACGTCATGATGTCATGACTTGAAAACCTTATAACGTAAAAATCTCATGACATCAATACATCATGACATCACAACATCATGACATTAAAACATTACATAATATTGCACGAGAACGTAATGACAAAACATGTTCCAAAAACTCTACATAAAATTCAACGTCATGCAAACAAGAAACGAACAGCGAATAGCATGCTGTAGCAGCACACATCGACATCACCTTAATAATAATAGAACGTCACGATTCACACACGTACAGAATGTTTAACTTTTCTGTAACAAATTAAACCACATAAAATCAAAACATTTCAACAGCAGGACAAATAACAACAACACAACAACAACACAATAGCAACAACGCAACAACAACACCACAGCAACAACAACAACACAGCACATTCATACAGCATGAGATGATGAGATATGTGGTAGCTTTTATACATAATCGACTTTCTCACGTCGTAACAATAGAAAATGAGGTTCACCCATTGTTTTCACCAGTTCACATTTACTCGTGTTCATCCAATCTTATTTCAATTTCCATTCAAACATCGAAAACTTCTTCGTTACGCTGAGCGTTAAATAATTTTGAGATAATGTTCTGGCAACTTTTCCTATGTGCAAATTTTTTTTTCATTTTATTTTTCATTTTTCATTCTTTCGTCTTTAAATTGACAATTATTTCCATTTGTTCGTTCGTTCGTTCGTTCGTTCATTCGTTCACTCACTCACTCACTCACTCACTCACTCACTCACTCACTCACTCACTCACTCACTCACTCACTCACTCATTCATTCATTCATTCAATATTTGTTGTGTTAGCTGTTTGTTTGGTTGTATGTTTATTGGTTCATTTGTTTATTTATTTGTTCATTTTGTAAAATGTTCTTTTGTTCACCTTGTTTCATTTGTTTGCATTTGTTTGCTATGTTCATTCATTCCTTTATTTGGTTGTTTGTTCATGTTTGTTCAATAAACCATTTATTTGCTGTTTCATACGTGTCAACCATTTAATACCCTCTCCCAATCGTCGCTTGTTCGTTATTCTATTTTTCTTTCTTTCTATTATTCACTCGTTTTCAATCACCATTCATTCACAATCTTCATTGAAACACACGTGCACACACAAACATACATACACGCACACTCACACACACACACATGTGTGTGCGTGAGTGCATCTTAGTCGTGGGACAATCAGTAGCGATATGTGTAATGTAATGTTTGTATAGCCATCCATATATTCGTGATTTATATATATATATATATATATATATATGTGTGTGTGTGTGTGTGTGTGTGTGTGTGTGTGTGTGGTGTGTGTGTGTGTTGTGTAAGTTAAATTTGCATGCTAATTATGTTCTGCGCGACGATGTATGCCTGTGTGTTGTACACACACACACGCACAATTACAGGCAAGGGCGTGCAGGATGTTTATTTACTTTTTGTGACAAAAATCACGAACCCAATACAAAAGATTGTTTTTAAAAAAATCAAGTGGGAATGGACAGGTGGTTGTGTGGGTGTGAGCTGTGTCTTGCTGCTGTCGTTGTTGTTGTTGTTGTTGTTGTGGTTGTTGTTGCTGTTGTTGTTGTTGTTAAGTGTGGTTGTTGTCTTATTGTTTGTGTGGCTGTTGGTTTTGTTGTCATGTGTTGTTGTTGTTTTTTATCTTTTATTCCTCCTGCATTGTGTCTTGTTTGATGATTTCTCTTACGTCTTTCCTTCCTCCTGCTTCACTCTGCGTACGTTGCTTGTCGTAGTTGAAGTTTCGTTTGTTTTGTTCTCCTAATGTGTTTTGTTCTCCTAAGTTTGTTTGTTTGGATTGTTTGTTTGTTTGGATTGTTTGTTTGGATTGTTTGTTTGTATTTTTGTTTGGTTTTGCAAAGTTGTTAGGTGCTGAGATGTGATGAGGTTGTTTGGCTGCTTCAGAACGACGTCTTGTTGAGTGATTGCACAATATTTTACTTTCGTTGTGTGATGTTGTTGTTGCTGCTGTCGTTGTTATTGTTGGTGGTGGTGTGTTGCTTGCTGTTAACTGTTTTGTTGCTACATAATATAACTACATACGTTGAACCAATGATAACAATTTGATGCGGTTGATATTTCAATGTTGTTGAGAAATGTATTGCTGTTGTTATTGTCGTTGTTGTTGTTGTTGTTGTTGTTGTGATATTGTTGTCATATTTCGTTGCGTTGAACGTGATCTGTGTTTTGTTGGAGCTGATATGTGTTTATAACTTGATAGTAGTGTAATGGCAATGGCTGGTTTTGTTGAGTGTCCACCAGACTGTCCTCTCATCTGCTATATGTTTGCATGATTTCAGTCATAGTTTATCGTTTCCATTGTTGATCTACTAACTTGAAGGTGCTGCCTTGTGAATCTTATGGAAGTAATGTTGGTTGGAGAGGTTGGTGAGGCAGTCGTGCTGGGTGGATTGCAGACTGTGCTGTACGACTCATTCATTATTCATTTAGTACATCTATGCAAACTTCAACACAACATGCTATTAAAAATGAATGGATGAAGAAATTTGAATGAAAAAATAAACTTGATGCGGTACTCCTTAGTTACATTGTTATGAAGCGATGTATTGAAGTATTGAAGATGTATTCAACTTAACAAGAAAGTTCAAAACTGAAAGATTTTCACAATTTTGAGAACGCGCGGTTTTAACGTTTACACTGACTTGTTTCAAAAGGTTCGATTGTTGCATGTTTACATTTCATAGAGATAACAATTGCTAATTTATGGCTTTCTAATGTGGCTGTCTTGCGACTGTGCTTGCGTGTATGTATGTGTGTGTGTTGTGTGTGTATGTGTGTGATTGCTGTATTTATTTATGTGTGTGCTTGCGCACGTGTGTTTTTTATATATGAGTACCTACATGTGTAGAAAAATATTTTCAAGTTTTCAAGTATCCTTCCTAATCACTGCTACACCTTTCGAAAATCAGCCTCTCAGACAAGTTGCTTTGTTTTCCAGAGTTAATTTCTAATGATGGTTGAATGCTTAACAGCTCATGATCGAACAAATTTTTAACACAAAATGCCAGAAAAATATGAAACTCCTCGCACGTATTTTCATTATCACGTTATCACGTGTTCTCCAGAAGGCTGAGACTTCTTTCCACTTTTAAATAACAGTTTCATTTCTTCATTTGCTAATTAGTGAGTTCCAACATATCAGGAGTTTCTTGAAAGATTTCCACAAATTAAATCCATTTTGTAATTTTGTCAAATTTCAACTCATTAAGCATTCTTTTTTTTATTAAAATTGTAAGAAACATTCGCGTATGTATTTCAATGGATGCATCGCGTATGCGAGTTATATGAAGTTGGGTTGCGTTATATGTTCCGTGAATATTTGTACAAATTCCTTGTAGTGTGTTGTATCGTGAGTTGTTAATAGAGCTTCACACGCGCGTACCTTACCCTCTTAAATCCAGTGTGTGTTGTTGTATGTTGCATATTTGTAGACAGACCTGCGCATGCTGTAATTTTTGCATTGCATTAGTTGCGTGCTATCGTTTATTTATTTATTTATGTGGCAAATCTTTGTGTTACATGCATCTGTGTGTCATATATATATTTGTATGTTGTAGATAGTTGAGCGTCGCATGCATTCGCACACGTGCGCAGACTGCTCCAGCGAGGTGCAAATGTTTGCTCGCATGGAAGGAGGGGCAGGAGGGACGGAATGGTTGATGTTGCTGCTGTTGTGATTTACTCCCTGCTTACCAATCACTGGCAGGCCTACCGCGAAGGAAACCTGCTGCTTGATCTCATTTAACAAATTGAGCGCATATATGCCAGGATAAAGTGCTGGCCACCAATTTTTTCACCATTTTATTTCCACCATTCAACTTACGCTACGCATATTAGCAGTTTTTGAGTTTTTGAGAAGTTTAATGCATGAATTAATTTTTTATTTAATGAAGTTCGAACAAATGAATGCTATTGTTGATAGATACGTCATAAAATGTTGAACACCTCCATCCACAAGCGAACAGATTCAACACAAGTGTTTCGCATAAGGTCTAATTAAGTCATTAATTCTCATTTGTTGCCAGCTTCAGACAACCATTAACACAACTTGATAACAAAAATAACAAGAGCTACGTAAGCACATGTGTTGTGTTGTTTCTGTTCTGTTGGGAATGTTGATAAGGAGACGTTTGCATGTATTTACGTATGACGGGCTGTCACATTCATATTTCATTCCATCCATATTTAAAAGTTACAAATTAAAAACCAAACAATCAATTGCATCCAAACTCACATAACCACACACTAAACACATACATTTGAGTCGAGATACTGACACACGTGAATAAAAACTCATGAAAAAAAACGAAAAAACAAACATAAACATATACACAAACAAACACACAAACACAGACAAACACATACAAACATACAGGCAGAGAAAGAGAGAGAAACATGTGCGTATGCTAGCACGCCTTGTCTCAGAGCATTCATTCATTCAATCTTTTCTCCATTTAAAAATGTTCGACATTAAGAGCAGGCACGCGTTTCACATGACTTGTTGTTGCTATTCTTATTCATTAACGTCGTTATTATTTTTATTATTGTTGTTCTTATTTTTATTATTATTGTTGTTGTTGTTATTTATTGCCATTCTTTCGACATCATCAACGATAATAATTTTGCAGTCTAAATCATTTTTGTTGTTATCGCGTCGTCGTTACCAGCCTCACCACTAACCACCACCACCACCACCA